GTTGTGAGTCGAACGTGGACTTGCAATCAGGACAAAAAAAGGTTGGCCCCCTGTTGCGCGTTGAGGGTTGACTTGCAGCTGGGACTAAAAAGCTTGGGCTCCAGTTGCAAGTGGAGGGTAGACTTGCAACTCGGACAAAAAAGATTGGACTCGTGGGTGGACTTATAACTGGGACAAAAAAGGTCGGGCCCCAGTTGTGAGTCGAGGGTGGACCTGCAACTTGGACAAAAAAAGGTTGGGCCCAGTTGCGAGTTGAGGGTGGATTTTCAACTGGGACAAAAAATCGGGCCCTAGTTTCGAGTCAAGAGTGGACTTTCAACTGGGACAAAAAAGGTTGGGCCCAAGTTGTGAGTCGATGGTGGACTTGCAAGTGGGACAAACAAGGTCGGGCCCCAGTTGCAAGTCGAGGATGGACATGCAACTGGACAATAAAAGGTCGCGCCCAGTTGTGAGTTGAGGGTGGACTTGTAACTGGGACAATAAAAGGTTGGTGTCTAGTTGTGAGTCAAGGGTGGACTTGCAACTGGGACAAAAAGGCCGAGCCTTTGAACTATAGGCTTTTCGGTGAGACCGGATGAAACATGTGGCAAAAATGATGGGGATGACCTAAGCACTTTCCATACTTAAGTGAAACTGACCGAAACCACTCAGAAATTCTGAGAGGAAATCAGTGGGTTATAGAATGTTAGCAAGCGCACTTCGGTGGGATTGAATGTCATCTGGATGAGACTGAGTTTCTAGGTTTTAGGTAGTGGCTCTGTCAAGTGTATCTCGGTGAGTCCGAATGTGGAAGTTTCGGTGGCACCGAGATAGGCTTTAGGGTTTTGGACCAATAGGAATGTGAGGGTGTGGCTGAGGGTTTTGGAGCAATATCTGTAAGCACTTTGAGCAAATAGTTCATGATCAAAATCTCACCCCCTTTTAATAGTATTGGCTTTCCTATGGACTCACTATGATCTTAGATCACTTAACCAAAAAATGTAGAGTCCTAGAGTTTTTGTCAATGCTTTGTCCTTTGCATTTTACCGGTCCACATTCACATCTCGTTTACTTGCCTAAGTTGAACTTTTTCTGAAATAGAATTGAGTAAAACATTAGTACAACAATATCTAGGTTGACATGAATTACCAAAACCACCAAGGAAGCAAATGTTCTTTCACATGCATACCCAGCTGGACATCTTGTTCACTGTCGGGTTCTTGAGCATGTTTATGGAGGCCCCAACAAGCAATCATCTCGCAGCCATCAAGCACCTGCTTTGGTACATCGCAGGCACAATCACACACATATGCGTGTATCACCGTGGCGATAGCAAAATTTGGTCGGCTATGGTAACTCCAACCATGTTGTTGGTGATGTGGACTCCAAGAAGAGCACCTCTAGCGTGTTGTCCTTCCTTGGGAGTAGTCCCGTCCTAGCAATCAGTGAGGCAGAAGGTTGTCACAACTTCTTCATGCGAGGTGGAGTACATTGCGACAGCTACAGCGGCATGTCAGGTGATATGGCTGGCTCGCCTCCTCGGTGAGATGCTAAATCAAGATTTCATCTCTACGCTCATCTTTGTCGATAGCAAGTTGGTGATTTCCCTATGCAAGAACCTAGTGCTTCACGACCGCAGCAAGCACATCGATCTCCGCTATCACTTCAAACATGACTACATCGAACAGGGCACGATGATTTTTTTCCAAATTCACAAACATTTTACAAAACATTTGAACTTTTAAAAAAGAAATTGAACTTTGTGTGAACCTTTTTTTGAATTCAAGAACTTTTTTAATGCATGAACTCTTTTTGAATTCGTGACCTTTTTTGCATGTTCATGAACTTTTTTTAAAATCTTCGAACTTTGAAAATTTGTGAACTATTTCAGAAACCATTTCAAATCATGAACTTTTTGCCAATTTATTAACTTTTTCATATTCTTTGAGAAGTCAATTCATAAAACTCAAACGTCAAAGGGTTGAATAGTCAACTATCAACAGGCCCAATAGTCAGTGCTTGAAATGCAAAACTGTCACCTCACTATCATTATCCCTAAAAAAACCTGACTTTGATTGAGTTCTTCTGTCTTGCCAAGTACATTTCTTAGTACCGCACTTCGGCCCTAAGTGTAATGCCTACCGGATACCAGCTGCTCCTGCTTCATATGTGCCTCCCAAGAAGGGGCGCAACCTGAAGCCAGAGGACCTTATGACCTTCACTCTAGGGTGCTCTTTCACCGCTCATATTCCGTGTGGGAGGCCCTCACGTGTCTGCTCAGGCCAGCTTTACTAGGGAGGATAAGAAGTCACTGTTCAAGATGATTGGCAAATTTTCAAGATGGGCCAGTCTATTCAGAGGAGGTCAGGTAGAGGATATCAATAGGAGCATTTTGTACAGGTGCAACAAGAAGTTAGATCAGTATGCCATGGGGATGCCTTCTGAGCTAGGATCCGAGGACAAAGATAGTGAGGCGACAGTTTATGAGAACCACTTTGTAGGATATCGCTTTGATGATGACGATGATGCTTTGAGCACCCCACCTCTTGTCTAGTTTTTTTTCTAGCATCGTCTCTTCCCTTTTTGGCATCTTGATGACAAAGGAGGATAATAGTTCTATTTAGCGTCATTTGTACTTGAGATCACAAGCCTCGTTCTTATTTAGTCGTGTTTCTATTAGCTTGTGAAACTTTTTTATTCAGTCGTGTGGTGTGAGCTACTTCTTATTTATGTTTGTGAGACTTGGTTTTGTTATTAAGTATTGATACTATGCT